CTCTCAAATAAATAAAAAAAATTAAAAAAAAAAAAAAGTGAGCTCCACACTAGCCTACATTTCGTAGTAAAAGCCTCTTTCTAAAAGACAAAAATGTAAAAAAAAATTATTATTTGTTTATGTATTTTACTGGGTCACACTACGGAGCTTGGACTTGCAGTGATCCTCCTGTTTTCAGCCTCCCCAGTGCTGGGATTACAGGCATGCGCCATCATGCCCGGCCTTGGTGGCCAGCTCACTGTGCCCAGGGGTGGGACTGGCACAGCATGTGGTGCCCTGAGTCGAACCCTGGTCCCCAAGCTTGCTTACGTAGGTACTTAGTCCTCTGAGCTATCTCACTGGCCCCAAAATTTTTATTGAGTGTGGCTAGTAAAATCTTTATTAAAGTTAAAGGAGTGTTAGAGCCGGGGAGATGGCTCAGTGGAATAAGCGCTTCCCTGGCAAGCGCAAGGGCCTGAGTTCAATCCCGGGTTCTGCAAAAAAAAAAAAAGAAAGTTAAAGGAGTGTCTGTATCCATCAACTTTTATGATTTGTCCATACCTTGTATGGTCCTCCATCATACCATGTAGGAAATAGGAAATTCCTTAGTTGGAAGAGAACAGAAAAGACCTATTGCTGAATGTCCTTTTAAAAGCTTTTCATCTTTGTCTTTTATTTATTTATTTATTTATTTTGAGGCTGGGTCTCACTTTGTAGTTCAGCCTGGCCTTGAACTTGCTCATGTAGCCCAGATTGACATTAAAAACAGGATCTTTATGCCTCAGCTTCCTGAGTTCTGGGGTTATAGGTGTGTGCCACCAGGCCCAGCTTTTATTTTGATTCTATTTGTTAAGTATTCCTCTTAAAGACTTATTTTTTTAGCATTGTGAGGTCAGTGTGTTTTTTCCTATTGTTTTTCAGACTAATTTTAATTTTTTCTGATTTCTTTAATGTTCACTTTTCTTTCCTTCATTACTAATTAGCCAGTTAGTTTTTATGGTACTGGGGATTGAAAACAGGGCCTTCTCACTGAGCTGCATCCCCACCCCTTTTGTTTTTTTATCTGGGACTAGGTCTTGCTGAGTCACTGAGTTGTCCAGGTTTGTTCAAACTTGTGATCCTTTTACTTCAGCCTCCCAGAGTATGGGATTATAGACATTGCCGCCATACCTGGTTTAGGCATTTGCTTTTCTTTTTACCAATTCCACGGCCTCAGGGCTTCCTCTGCAGCATGTTACCAGTCTTTGCCTTTAACGCAGACTTCTGCTTCTTTCTGTGTCTGTGTGAGCCGTTTGCACCTGGACAGCCAGCTTTTTCTCCTTAGGAAGCGCGGTTGGCATCTGCTTGTACACAGGGCATTAATCGCAGCGCAGCCATTGCAAGTGGAAATGTGTGACTGCAGAGCTTTCACGCGAGCCGTGCCGCAGTGGGCACAGCGCCGGGACATGGAGGTGTGGAGGCTTGCATTCCTCGGGCGGCAGGGGTTCGGAAGCACACGGAGGGGTGTAACAACGATACAGGGCAGGTACAGAGTGGTGAGGCCTGCAGAGCAGGCTTCTACATGGGTACACCCTGTGGGGTGGCCCGTTTAATGCCGGTGTGATACCCGCTGCTCGAGCGTGTGCCACATCGTGTACATATGTATGATCTCCATCTTGTTTGTACAGCCTCATACGGCCTTTTTGGTACAGTGCACCTCACTCACACGGTGCTGCAGTGCTTGCTGACTGCACTGCACAGCCCGGCACTGGTTTTCTGCTGTTCCACCTCATAGTGCGGCATGTCAGCTGTGCAGATAAAAGCAGTGAAGCTGGAGTTTCCTTTGACTATTTCTGTGTTCTGAATTTTGTAATGTACATTTAGTGACCAGTTTTATTAACAACTAAGTTGTAGGAATGTGACTCAGTAATTAAATGAGCAATGTCTAATATTTATAAATGTGAAACTTATAATTTAAAAAGTGATTGGCATCTAATTCAAGTGGTTTTAAATGTTGGATCTGTGCAGGCCAAATAGGTCCCAGGTTTGGGTGTAGTCTTTTTTTTTTTTTAACATTTATTTAGGGTGTGTGTGTGTGTGTGTGTGTGTGTGTGTGTGTGGCCAGCTCAGCCCACCAGGGGGAGCGGCTGGCTGGCATGTGGTGCTGG